GATGTAGGATGTCAAGCAAATAGATACTGTGCTAAGGTTCTCGGCTTGACACGTGGCTACTGTTTGATTTCTTTGTATTGCAGTACTAAGCATTGTATGGGACGGCAAAACAAATACTCCAAGCAATATGGCATCCTAATTTTTTTTTTTTAGCTTAAGCGCTTAGCTTAAAACCAACTTGGCTGTGCAGTTTGAATATCTGAAAGCAGGAGAAGGGCATCTAAGTATTCATGAAAGCAGGTGTCTTCTATAGCCATGTGTGTGCCCCTGTGAGGAGCAGGGAGTGGTTATGTTTGGTAACTTTCTGAGTATTTGTGTGACTGAGTTCTCCAGACATGGGGTTGGAATGTGTATGGCTAGTTTTATTTAAGCTGTCAGGGTACTGCTGCTTGTGCCTGACCTCTCTGGCACTCTGTTGGCTGCTAGAGCCCCCATCCATAAAGATTATCAGTGTCACCTACTCTGATGGTAGCCATTTAGTTTTGTAACTGTAGGTGTTTGATGAGGGTTTGCTTTTATGCAGAAAGTTCTGGAAGTGCTGATATTGTCCTGTGGTTCAAAGATATAGCTTAAGAGGACATAACGATTTATGAAGGGAGAGTCTCCAAAATAGTTAGAATTTCAATTTTGATGGTGAAAGCCAGTACTAGGGTTGCATGTGGAATATTGAAAAATTGTTCAGGCTGTTTTGTGTTCTGTGCTAGAAGAGCTAAGGTCTGTGGTTAGGGATAAACAAAACTTCTGTCTAGCTGTTACTGGATGAGATGCTCTGTTTCCTCCTGTACAGCAGACTTATTCTTTATGTTGAAGTATATAGGTGAAAATCTCGTTAAATGGGAAAAATGTGCTATAATTGTGGCATGCAACTTGTATGCCTTCTGACTGTTGGTACATGTTTTAACGACTTAAAAGTTCTGTGAACTTCTTGCAATTGTTGAATATTTTCTATTTGCAGTGTTGGTAGCCTTATATGAAGAACCAGAGAAACCAAATAGTGCGCTGGAGTATCCTTTTTCTCTTCCGTGAGTTGTTTGTAGAGACTTGCCGCGAAACAGCAGTACGGCTTCTGACTCGTAGCTGAACTGGAGAGACTTGTTTAGAAGACTTGTGTTGAGAACACAGCTTTTATGGATGCATTTTAGCTAATAATTGCTTTCTTGAAAGCTAACAGAAAGTCTGACAGGATGTGAGAGAACTAGGCCTATCAGTAGGCCAGCAATAATGAAGTGAAGTTATGGGCTGTTACACAGTGTTGTAGACCTGCAGCATTAGATCTGAGTACTTACAGTAGCTGTAGCTTCTGATGTCAGTGACGTCAGCTTTTCCATGCTTTTTTTTTTTTAATAATACAAAAGAGGAAAAAACCTTAATGTCTTTTTGTTTCTTGCTGGTTTTAAGCAGCCTCCCTTTTTGGCTATTGCTTTAATTGGTTATTTGGTTATTCCTTTTAACTCTTCAAAGCTTTGACATTTAAGAGAAGAAAAGAAGAGGAGGGTGTAGTAAAACATGGGAATTTGTCCTGTGTGTACTGATGCCTTGTTTTCTACTTATTCTTTATTCTTTTTTAAGGACTATATCCATGAACTTGAAAAGCTTTCTTATTTTTGTAACTTCATCCTGCAGGATGAAAAGCACTTGTAATCTTAAATGGTTTAATTCAATTTCGATCATGTCTATTGCAGCACTAACTTCATAATAAGTGTTAAAATGCAGTTACACTATCTACCTGAAGAAATACTTAACATCTAAATATCAGCTTTCTGAAGCATCATCTGGGAGCTTCAGCTCCTGAGAATCCAGAAATAGAGGCACTTCGCTTGGAAGTGGCAGAGATGAAAGAAAAATATGAAGCTGTGTTGGAAGAAAATAAAAAACTGAAAACCAAGGTAAAAGTCATCTTAGTGTTGCTCAGTAGTTCCATATTACATAACAGGAAGGATATTTTAGTACTTAGAATACAGGTAACTTTGTTCCGTTAGAGTAACTGATAGATGTTGTTGCATTGTGTCGCCTAAGGGCTGAGGAATGCTGATAGAATTCATCATAGTAAAGATTTTTATTTTTTTGTGATGGGACACTACTTATATTCTATAACATGGAATCATATTGATAAACTAGGATATTTATTTAGTGAAAGAATGTTATTGAGGCTAATAGTATGTCTGAGTTCAATCCTGCCTGGATGTGTTTACGTTGTCTGAATTTATGTAGCTCATGCTTTCACAAGAGTTTTGAAAAAGAAAAAAGCTGATGAATCTATTACAACGGCTTTCTAAAGGCCAGCTGAAGGGGGAATATTATATTAGTTCGCGTAACCTCGCACAGACTTGCACGTGGCAGGATGTTCCCAGTGGAGGCGCTTGTATCCACGTGGAACAGTATCTGCACTTGTCAGCTAAAATGACCCCGGTATTCCTCTACCTGCAACAACAGTGAATCTGAAGTGCTAGCTAAGGCAGAGCCATTCTTTTAATGGGTCTACAGGCTGTCTGAAACAGCTCCGAGCGTGAACAACTTCCTTTCCGGAGGGCACTGACTGTGAACCTAACAACACTGAAGAAGGAGATCTTAATAAGCTAGTAGTTTATGTGCTGCTACAGGTTTCCATGCGTTTGTTGGAAGAGGATGGCTGGCTGCTGTTATATGTGAACATCCCTGTGGGTTTTTTTCACTGGGAGACAAACACCCCACCTTAGTTCTGGGAGAAAGCGCTCTTGCTGTTCTAGTAATTCTCCTCCTTCACTGTTACCCACTATGAGTCCTTACAGCTACGTTTGTTATTTCTTACTAGGAAATATGGCAAAGAGCAGAATTTTAGGGGGAATAGCAATAGACCAGCAGTTCACTTGGTGTAGCCGACTTAAAAATGCAACTGATAGTAAGTAGACACATGAAAGCAGAGTAACCTGGGTTTTTGTTTAAAGAAAGTTTTTAAAGAAGTCAAAACTTGTACCAAGGAAGTAAGCCTTTCCATAATCATGAGTTTATTTGCGCTTTCACCTTCTTCAGCCTTCAAATGGTAACTCTTACTCTACATATTTTCCAGTATTAATGTTTTTGGTTTGTCCCGTTCTTTCCCCTACCATCTTCTGCCTGTCACTCTGACATACTGTAGAAGTTCACGCAGCGCAAAAACAATGCAGGGAGAAGCCTATAACTTAGCTTTTTTATTATTATTTTTTAAGCAGTTCTCTAGCATAAAATACATATCTTTAACTGTGCATTTATTGATAACTTGGATCATGTCCAAATAGGTGGTGTTCCTCTGTTGCGTTCATCAGATCTATTCTTTTCCTTACATTTATTGGTCAGAATGTCAGGTATTTGGGTGGAACAGGCGGGAAGGAAGTCAATAGGCCATTTGTGGAAAAGAAAACTGACTTTGAATTGTGTACTGGCCATCTTTTGTACTAAAATCTACAAGAATAACAAAAATTACTAAACTAGCATTTTGTCAGCGGCATAGTGATTGCTGTAATTTAGTGTTGCTATCAGAAACACATGAGTATTTCTTTTTTTTTTGTACCTTGTTTATTTTTAACCTACTCTGCAATTTGCAGGAGAGAAGAATCTTAATTGAGGAAACTGGACTGGCATATTTCAGAGAATCAGTCCTAATGCTTGAACTGTTTTTGAAGCTTAAGCTTATCTTTAATGTAACTGAGGTCAAGGAAACACTTTTATATGTTTCTCTGGAAATAACTTTACAAGTATAGTGTATAGTTGCCTAGGTCATACTCTCCGGAACGCATAATGAAAGCTAGAATGCTTACAGGAAATGTTAGTTTGGGTATTGTTGCTGTTAAGAAACTAGCTCTATCCCAGCTAAAACCAGGACAAAAGCCTATAAGGCAGTGATTGTTATCAGCTGCTATTTGAGATGAAAAGTACTTAATGAGACCTAGAACAAGGAACTAGGAAAAATTAAGGGCAAGACCTATATGCTGGAAAGTGAGTTTTAAAAGCCTCCTTGTTATGGCTGCATGATTATACAATGTGACAAAGTGATGTTTTGAGGGAAGAGCTACTTTGTTGCCTGGCCTGAAAATGGACTTGCATAAATATCAGTGATGGATTAAAATGCACAAAGTAAATGGAACACTTCCAGACCAAACGTTTTCCTACTTATGTAGGAATTTATTTCAATTAATGTAGAAAGTGTCTCTGAAATGTTGCAGCTAACTAAATTCCTCTCTTTAAATCCACAGCTGGCTCAGTATGAACCACCTCAAGACGAGAAGCATGGCGAATAACAGTAGTTTCTCCTTTAATGCCTAGACTTAATAAAGGGCTTCTTGAGAACTGCACTATTTTTTTGTGTGTGTGAGAACTCTGCATGTCTACTTTGTTACCTCATCATCTTAAAGAAAGAAAATGCATTGTCAGGAGCGTACAGCTGCTATTGTGCAGCTGCAGCAGCAACTGATGAGCTTAAGTGTACTGGCCAACTTTCTTGCTTTCTGTGTTTAAGAAAAGGTGATAGTTATGATTAACTTTTAGATAACTGTGCCTGCCAACTTTGTGTAAAGTTTGCATTGTGGTCAATGGTCCTGGTAAGCTGCTGATCTCTCTTGGTTTTCTTTTAACTGAAGGGGGTGACATGACACAGGTGGACCAACTAAACTAAAGCAGGACTTCCAATGTATGTTCTAAGCTGGTGCTTGGCACTGAGGTTAGGCTTCTACTGAAGCTGATAGGGTAACTGTCTACTCAGAGGGGCACAAAAGGAATGAGTATAGTTAAGTGTTGGAGATGTGCTCCACCTAGCACAATGTTGGAGATGCAGTATTGAGTGTACTTTTTAATTTGCATGTGTACCTATTTCCATGCAGTTCATGTCTCCAATCCTGTTTCAGAAACTAGATTTTGGAGAGTTGATCCAGATACTGCCGTGACAGTTCTGAACAGAATACAAAATTCTTACTTGTAATAGATGACCTGTGTAATTACAGTGGCACATGTAAGAGTACAATGTGCGGACTTCTGAAAAAAAGAAAAAAGAAAATCTAGGCAGGGTAAAAAATCCAAGAGGTTGTGTGTGTGACTCATGGTTTCTAATTTTGCCTTTAATGTTCTATGGCCCCTGTTTCCCTGAATCAGCTTCACAATTCTTCTGAAATGCAAAGTTGTCTGTTACCAAAAAAAAAAAAAAAAAATTTCAAGAGCTGCGTTTGTCTTCTGTTCTAAAACTAGGTACTTTGAAGGCAACTGATAACAGGAAAAATGGAAGGAAGGGGAGGGGGAGAAGTGCAGTAGCTGTCTTATGTATTAGATCTACTGACTATTAGTTTAACTTTGTTTCCAGGATGGGTTTTGCAGCTTGTCTTACAGATGTGGCAGAATGGATCAGAATTCTTGCTATAGGCAATGTTCCAACTGAATCAAGGGCTAATGAATGCAATGGTTGCTTGCCTTACTATTGTACCTCCTGATCTAAAGAGACCAGAAGAGAGTAAAATGAGGGGGAAATACTGTGTTAAATCTTTAAACCAACAAAAAAAAAATCCCTGACTCTTTCCAGGGCTTTTTGTTTGTTCAAAAAAAAAAAAGCAAACAAAAAATGCTCCACCCTCTGCAACAAAGGAGAGAAGAAAGGTCACTTGTAAGTTAGAATATATACGTAGCGTTAAGTTGCACATATGGAACCTAGAGGGTAATGCTGTAAAGAAGCACCATACAGCTCAACATGTGCTGTGAGTAACATGACCGGAGGAAGACTGAAATAAACGCTCTTTGGGGCGCGCGTCTTGCCAAAGAAGCAGCGGGCAGGTAAGGTGTTTAGTTTAGGCGGACACAGGGCACAGAGGACTCCTTGATCGAGACATTGGGTGTGAAGGCAATAACACGAAGTTAACTTTTCACAACCGTATTTGTTTCCCTCTGAAAACAGTTTGGTCTCGTGAGCTTTAATTTAGGATTGTAATGAAATAACAAGTATATTAAAGCTTCAGCCGAACTGCCTGCGTGTACAGAGGATGCCAGCAGAAAATTAATGACCGCTGCGCAAGAAGCGTGCTGCGTAGATAACGTTCGCTGGGAAAGCGGGAGTGCCTCTTTCACGAAAGCTTTCTT